TATTAATCTGCTTGTGTTCACTTTGATCCTAACTCTGTACACATTTAGCAACCAAAGTCCACCATTTGTTGGCTAAGATAAACCCTGTCCTGTTTCCCTCTGCCTTCTCCACCACTCATTTGTTCTTGCTTGCATGTTTGACAAACACAACCACCCTCGTTTTAGGCCAGGATGATTCATCAACCATCTAATTCAAACCCTCTGCTTTTGGTATTTTTACCTTTAATAAAATGTTTTATTTGTCCACACATTCACTGGTAAAATATTCATCAACTCAGCTTATAAAGAACACAGCAAAGCTTGTTTGCCTCTTCTGTAGTGTTTGCTCAGTCTCTCCATCCTTTATTTAGACATTTCTTCCTCCTACTCTCTTTTGACTATAGCTGTTAGAAGTATACCTGGAGGTGTGTGTTGTTTGCTCAACATACGTTACCACGATTTATTACTTAACCACAGCATTGATTTGAGCTAAAACTGGTCCTTGCCCGACTGATAGCCTCTCTGATTTACTTTAAAATGTATTTTTTTTAAAACATATAAAATACCAAAAACTCATTCTTTAGAATATTTGCTCAAATAAGAAGTTTTAAGCAAATTCACACTTTGAGCTAAAAGCTAAAATGCATAAGCTCACATATCTTCATCAAAAGGGGAAATAATGTTGTTTATTACTTTTGCTTTATTACCTAAAGTAAAACATGAGAACAGGTTTAAGTTTGCTTTTTCACTGTAGCAAATTAAAGCCGGTCAGACATTTTCTTTATCAAAAAAAGGAACGTTTTAAGCTTAAACCTAAAAGTAGACAGGGTGTCTGCACCAAAGACTAAAGCTGGTAGTTGGTTCCACAGGAAAGGAGCCTGATAACTAAAAGATCTGCCTCCCATTCTACTTTTAGAAAGTCTAGGATTCACTAGTAAACCTGCAGATTTAGAGTGAAGTGATCTGTAAGGGACATAACGAACAATCATATCTCTGATATAAGATGGAGCTTGGCCATTTAAGGCTTTATATGTAATAAGGAGGATTTTAAATTCTATTCTGGATTTAACAAGAAGCCATTGAGGAGAAGCCAGGATAGGAGAGCTATGGTCTCTCTTTTTAATTTTCACCAGAACTCTGGCTGCAGCATTTTGGATCAGCTGAAGACTTTTAACTACAGTTTGTGGATTTTCTGAGAGTAAAGAATTACAACACTCCAGCCTTTAAGTAGCAAATGTATGGACTAGTTTCTCAGCATTAATGCTGGACAAAATACTTCAAAGTTTTTGCAGATGAAAGAAGGAAATTGTGTATCTGTGTTAATGTATGTTAATTGTATGTTTGTAATTTTATCTGTGTTAAAGGTGCAGTGAAACACGTGAAATTACCACTGTAATTGTCATGCATTCTGAGTAATTATTTTTAAATGCTTTAATGCTGGCTTTTGAGAGGTTAAATGACAGGTCCTGATCAAAAATAACAAAAAAATATTTTTTACTTTACTATCTGAGATCAATTTAATACAATCCAAGTGACTGACTAATCAGCTTCTTTTTCAAAAAGAAAGGATAACTAGCCAATAGTGTGTGAGTGTGTGCGTGAATCGGTTAATGACTGAATGTAGTGTAAAGCGCTTTGGTCAAGTCTCCTGACTTGAAAAAAAGCGCTATATAAGTACAGGCCATTTACCAGGCCATTTAATAGCATATTTGTTTCATACTAAAATATGCAGGAAATCAGAGTCTGTGAATTCTTCATGAACTCCACTAATAAATAACCAACTATGCGTATTTAAATAATATATTGTAACAGTTTATTTAACCTTTATTTACAAGTAAATCAATTCATTATAGTATTTTAATTTCTAGTAGATTTCGTTGCATTGCGTTTTTTCTCATAACTTTTTTGCAAATTTAATTTACCATGGCAATTGGCATTTAGTCAGTTATTTTTCTGATGAAGAGCACTTTAATGAATAGGTGAATTCTATGTGCTTGTTATTACAAGCAGTGAAATATTCACTGAGTCAGATTGAGGTTTGGGTAACACATTTCACCTTGGGAGAAACCACCTCCACCTCACATTATCCTAGACAGCAAATCAGGAAGCAATGCTATTAAAGAACCACTTCCTCTCTTACTTCAGAATAAGAGCCTCATATGTAGATGCAAAATGCTGTTTTATGTCTGCGAGAAGGACTAGCGTTAACATTCAGGGCTTGTAGTGATGAATTATGCTTTTATTCACCAGATAAAGTCAAAACGTTGATGTCAACACGATACAACACATGGACCTCGTTTATAGAAGAAATGTTAGCATCCTGAGATAAGACAAGATTTTGATACAGCCTTAGTTACCTTTACCAAATTGTCAATAGTAATAGCATTGTATGATACCATCAGTATGCTGCAAATCATTGCTTTTGCTCTTAAACAATTACTCTCTAGTAGCCAGCAAAAACCTACCCTTGAAAATGGCTTTTTAAGTGGACACTCATTTGGTCTTTTGCATAAGTGCAAACATGTAAGCATGATCACTTTCTAGATTTTTCAGTTTGGTATCACTTCTGTGCTTTAATTAGTTGATTAGTTTACAATAGCTACAGTAAAATAATAACAGAAATGTTTACAGCATGTAAAAGATTAGAACAAAAAAGCAGTCTGGCAGTCTGGGTGCAGAGATCAATGGAAAAGGAAGATTGCAGAGATTTTGATGTATAGAGTGGTTGTATGGTAGTGAGGGTAAATTAGTTTAAGAAGCTAAGATAGTTTGGGGGAAAAAATGAGTGTGGATTTTCGAATTCCTCATTTAAAAGATCCTCCACACATTTGCCAGTGTCTTTGTGTCAGTGCCAGTCTTCACATCGGTTAAGCAGGCTTTGCAGAGTAAATCTACTATTATTAGCCTGTATGAGAGCTAATGCTGTAGCTCCACAGTCAGGCAGATGGGTGACTCTTCCGTCTGATGATCCTGTGGTTTACATTTATTGGTTTCCTCTTTCCGCTGATGGCCCCGTTTGTTGTTTGCATTACTCTGCTTTTTAAGCTTGAAAGACTGGAAAGAATATTCTTCCGATTAATCTTAGGAAGAGAGTATAGGAGACATTTTTGCAGCCAAGACAAAAGCTATTCTTGGAAACTCCACAGTAGCCATAAAGAGGAAGGTTTTGTGAGATCCTGCTCCTTAAAACCAACTTCCTTTTTCATTTGCATAGAATGGCCTTTTCCTCAACTCTGCACAATGAGATGTTTGACAGGAAAGAAGGATCTAAACTCAAAGCTGTTCCTCCACCTAGTGGTGACAAGGCCACAGTGCTTCCACTTGTAGCAAGGCAGAACATGTTCATTCAATCAGGCTTTTTATATATATATATATATATATATACTTTTTTTTATAATATTTTATATTGAAGATGAAAAAAATAGCTATTAAAACAACATTAAAGTGCATAGTACTCAATAAATACTATAAGGATGAAAAAAGTTGAGAGCAATTCTTAAAGGTAATTTGAAGTGTTGAACTGGGGAGAGAAATAATTAATGTAAAAATATAACAATTCTGGAATTTGAAAAGCAATAAAGGAAAACATTAGCTTTAACCATAAAACAAGAAAAATAATAAGAAAAATAAACGGTACCCAAAAATCTAAAATGATCTAATGTCAGCTGATTCCGGTCTCCCTCTTCTTATCCTTTGTCTTCTCACACATTTCTTCCTAATATGCTATCTTTCATTTGTTTTATTAAATGTCTTTAATGACTAATTACAATCATTAAAGACATTTTAAAGTTATTAAAGTCTTTATTTCTCCCGAGCAACATTAAGTTCACAAAACAGACCCCCTCCCTGTTACCTCCGGTGGTCCTCAAGGCTCTATCCTGACCCCCCTTCTATTCATTCACTCTTCGTCTTGCTATTGCAAATGCTTTCTACAAATTGAAATACCTCTCTCCCACCCTCATTATTACCTGCCACTCTGGAATGCATATTAATCTTCTTCTTTCTAAAAATTTCACAGTTATTGATTTTTTATTTCTTTTTATCTTCCTAACATAAATTTTCTCTGTTCCAACCTCAACCCTCATACGAGAGCTATCTTGTCTGCAGCTTCCTAACCTGCTGTGTTGACTATTTTCTATTCTCTGGTTTCCATCATAATTCTCTACAAACATTGAATCGTTCAGAAATCACAGTTGTACGATTTAACACATCACGCTAGTCTAGGAACAACTGCACCGGCTCCTCATTAAATTGAAAAAGGATGTAAAGATGGTGGTGCACACATAAAGGGCCATCCACAGTCTTGCTCTCTTGTTATTTACCACTTCCTCCTGCTTCATCAGGTCATCCTCCTCCATCCTGCTTGCTGCAATCTTGCCCAAGGCAGGCAGAGAGTATAGCGAACAGGAGGAGGAGGATAGGGACTAGAGCTCTCAGCTACTATTATCCTCACTCCCACCGACAGTGGAAATATTGTAAATTGTAAATATAATAGAAAATAACAAAACATTGACTAAAACAGACTATATAAATAGCATGATAAAGGTTAATCAGGCCTGCAGCCTTGCATCATAGATATTACACTGTGTTAACAGCTATTGGAGGGTGATGCAAACATTAGATGGATCCATTTAGATGCATATGACAGTGTTGTGAACATAATAGCGTGTTCAGATAACATTTCTCCCACACATGCAGGCTCAGGACCAAATGAGTAATCATCCCTGCAGGTATCCAGACTGAGATTTGTTTCTTTGTTGTTTGCTCCCCTTGCATTCTCACTCATGTCGACTAACACGTGTATTGGATAATTTTATTTATTAGCAAACCACATAACTTATGAAATATTACTTGTGTTCCCTGCTGAATTTAAACTCACAATTAAGGTTTCAGACTCTGTTATTGATCTCACTCCTACGCAATCTGGCACTCTGTTATACCACCAAACTCATTACCCTCTGTCATGGTCTCTTTGGAGAGTCTTTGTGTTCAAATATTTCTTCTTCCTCCATCTCTCCCAGGTCCAAGATGGGCTTCCTGGAATTTGGGAATATTCATTTGCATTCGCTGCGCTGGGATTCATCGAAATCTGGGGGTCCACATCTCAAAGGTCAAGTCTGTAAACTTGGATCAGTGGACACAGGAGCAGGTCCAGGTCAGAGGCTTGACTGTCCCTATTTTAAAGTGACATAATAGCTACAAAAAAAAAACATAGAAAACTGTGGATTATATTTTTGATATCCAATTTAATGTATATATGTGTATATATTTTTTTAATATATTTTTTATAAAGCTATAACCCACTGTTATCAGACAACTAGGGACAAGCTATCTTGTGGGGTATATTAGAGAGATTGCACATATCAACTATCATTTTTGACACCATAAATCAGTAAAAAAAAGTTTTTCTATTTCTTTCCCACACATATCTTGTTTGTTCTTTATTCTGTTTTGCATAAGCATTTATATGTTATCTGAAGAAGTTGATGACTGACAGAAAAGGGTAATAATCTTTAGCCTCTCATGCTTCTGCCATGGTTTCAGTCTTTTAATGTTGACATAAACATAAGTGCAAAAATGACGGTCCAACATAGGTATTAAAACCTTTTTGATCAGATTCAAGATTATATAGATAAAAATTTGTTTTAAAATAAAAATCAGAGAAAATATGTTGAATGGTGTATCAAAGGGAAAATAAGGCACCAGGTCCAAAGTTGTTTTGATAATGCTACTAGAGAGGCGACAGAGGAGCCCAAAGTCATGGATAAAGAACTATCTCTTATCCATTAGCACTTCTATATAATCAAGATGGATCTTGAATAATCTCCTCCTCTTTTAATGCGCTTTATTAATTGCTTTTGTTTTGAACTGGTGACTCTAGTGTGTTCAAGAGATGGGAAACGCTAAGGCCAAACGTCTCTATGAGGCCTTTTTACCTGAATGCTTCCAACGGCCTGAGACGGACCAAGCCGCAGAGATCTTCATCAGGGACAAATATGATAAAAAGAAATATATGGATAAGGTTATTGACATCCAGATGCTTAGGGTGAGTTTTCATCTGCTAGTAAAAACAATAAAATTTGTGCATTTATCTCTGTCCGAATCTGTTGGATCAATAAAATGCAGCTCTACCATGTAACCTAACCATGCGTTTTTTGTTATCAGAAAGAAAAAAGTTGTGACAACATCCCCAAGGAACCTGTTGTGTTTGAGAAAATGAAACCGGTAGGTTTATTTTTCTTTTTTTTTTATTAGTTGGAGGCTTTATAAAGAGTTTTAGATTAAAGGTAAAAAAAGACATGCTTTTTAAAGGCAGACGTTCTCAGCCAGCCACTAAGTTGCATTTATCACGAAGGTCATTTAGGTTCCTGAGCATTTTCCAGTTAGCATTAACATTGCATCAAATGTATTGATTTTCTCAGAAAAAAGACATCAGTCCGAAAACAGACTCCCAGGCTGTTTCAGACCTACTTGGACTCGGTATTGTATATTTTAAACCTTCCTCACATTCACTAAGACATTGTGTGTAGACAGTAATATTTACACACAGCTTTATTGTTCTATTGCAATGAAGGCAGCTTGTTTGGCTGCAAAGTTGCACTTCATGTGTAATTACCCCTTTATGCTATAAATTGTAGGGCCTAATTTGGTCAATTGTTCTAAAAATTGCTGACTCACACCTAGAAGAGATATAACTGCTTCTCTTTTTCCATCTACCCTCCATTAGATGCTCCTACTCCGAGTCTTGCGGTACATAATGGTGGAGGATGTGTTCCCGACAGTAATGAGAGCCCGGCGATGTCTAATCCAGCTCAGGCACAAGCCGCTCTGGATCTCTTTGGCTCTCTGCCAGCCCCCTCCTCAGCGCCCTCGACCAAAACTATGGTAGTAAGTTCCTTACACATATGCAATGTCTTGTTAAGAAATCTACTTTTTGTCTAGTTCACATATTGCCAGGTTTTCCCACATTTTTCTGTCTGCTTAAAAATATGATTAAAGGGCATATATATATATATATATATATATATATATATATATATATATATATATATATATATATATATATATATATATATAAATTACCATTAGTTGTGTTACAGTTTTCCTTCTAGCTCACAGTAGTTTATTTTAAAATCCAACAGAGACATACATACAAATGCATGACAAAAAGAAAGCATGTTTCAGATCTGATAGACCCTGGACAATTATATCTAGCAGTTCCACTAGGATCTTAGGTAACAATCAAGGAATGTCATGTTATTATTAATTTCTCCACAGCCTGAAACCTATTTGATCACTACAATGTGAGCATTTAAGCTGGAAATCTATTTAAAAGTCTGGAACTTGTAATATATCTGGAAAAATCCCATTTGTCTGAGAACCAAAGGGACAATATGCCCCCAGCCTTAAGATAATGGGCTTTATGTATACAGCTGATTCAGCAGAGCTAAACCAAAAATGACACAAATGCTGAAAGTCAAGATTCACGCCACGATCCTACCTGCTTTATATAATATCATTTATTTTATTGTTTGTTTGTTTTTTCTTCAACCAGTCTTAGTGTGGAAAGATAAATGTAATCTTTGTCTAATCTAAAAGAAACAGTAAATTTTTGTGGGGGGGGGGAACATACATATTCTAACTTCAAAGTTTCTTTTTAAATTCTGCTTCCATGATTTGCATCAACAGCTCTCAGAAACTCCCACTGAGATACGATGACCATCAATATTACTTTTAAGTACAGTTTTTCTATTGCATGCAAAGCAACATTAGAAAATAACATTTTTATAAAAGAACACTGCAAAAAATATTTTTTTCTATTAATTTATTTACCTCTAGAGCAAGGGTCTGCAACCTACGGCTCCAGAGCCACATATGGCTCTTTGGACCCTCTGCAGCGGCTCTTAAAGTGGCTAAAATTTATATAAAGGGCTAAATAATGTACTACAAAATAAATTCCAGTCTTAAAAGCTTTAGAGTTTTTTATAAGATGGATAAGAAGGACATAAAAAAAAAACAGTAATGTGTTTTTAGAATAACTTTCCTTTTAATTAGCTTGGAATTTATGTGTTTTAATATTATTTTAAAAGATAAAATACATGTATTGTTGGTTGTTTAAGATGGCAACTAATTTCCTATACTAGATAATAAAAAAAAAAAAAATTGTTTTTCTAAAACGTCATCTACTTTGCGGCTCTAAATAACTTTTACTTGGTCGGACTCAGAGCAAAACGGCTCTTTGGATATGAAAGGTTGCGGACCCCTGCTCTAGAGTTAGTGCTAGAATCAGAGGAAGTTGCATACATAAAATGTGTTTGTAAAGGAAAATTCTGACAGGAATTAATTTAATAGTTCAGTATAGCATTGATTTTAGTTTTTTTTTTTTTTTATTCTATCCAGCCTGCAGCCAGCTCCTTGCCTCAAAGCAGGGTCACCGCCTCAGTGCCTGAAAACCTCAGCTTATTCACGGATCCAAAACCCAAATCGGAGCAAGGCACGGTAAAGAAGCTGTCCAAGGACTCTATTCTCTCCCTCTATTCTTCCACCCCTTCCCTGCATGCCAGCAGTATGACTCCACACGGTAAGATCGCCACAGCTTTTCCTCGATGTTAGAATACAGACACACTGCTCAGCTTATTTTGGTCGTTATTGTCTTTCCTTACGATTGTTTTCAGCTGGCTTGTACATGAACCGAATGGGATTCCCAACACACCCGTATGGTCCATATCATAGTTTAGCCCAGGCTGGGGGAATGGGAGGAGCCATGATGGCGCCACAAATGGCAATGATGGGTCAGCAGCCGAGTTTGATGGGGGTTCACCAGAACAGCATGATTGGAGCACAGCAGAACTGCATGGCGGGACAACAGAATGGATTAATGGCTGCTCAGGGTGTCATGGCTCAGCCAAGCGGTGTTGTAGCAACACCTTACGTGACGGGGATGAGCCAGGGAATGATGGGACAGCAGCAAAGCGGAATGCTCTTACATCAGCAGAATGGAGGATTAGGTCCACAGCAGAGTGGCATGATGGGACAACAGCAGGTTGGCGGCGTGGCCTCATTACCTCATCAGCAAGTGTTTGGAGTGCAACATGCCGGCCAGCAGCTTCAGTGGAACATGGCTCAGGTGTGTGCGTCATAGTTTTGCAGGATCCTCAATTAAAAATTAAGAAAAAGGAAGAAAAGCATCCCACTGTTTTTTTCTAAATTGTGTTTGCTATTTCTTAGATGACTCAGCAGGTAGCCGGCATGAATCTCTACGGCACCAACGGGATGGCAGGGTACGGTAGCCAGCACACAGGAAGTTCAGCTGCTCCCAGTTCAGCGCACATGACGGCCCACGTCTGGAAGTGATTTTATAAATCCAAACACCAGAGGAACATCTTTAAGACGAGAGGAAATGGAGGAACTAGGAACAACATCAAACATTTTCAGAAGCAAGAGAATAGGAGGAGAAGGAGGCAGTTGTGAAGAAGATTTGAGAAACGACTACTACCTCTCTGTCTCTCCTCTCTCCCTAAGTTTCCTCTCTTAATCTCATTCATAGCCATGCTCTATAAATTTCCATGTTTGCCTTCAGGACATTTTGGTATCAAGACAAACAGGGTTCAGACCATTGCTTAGATAAATCTTTTTTTGTATCCCATCATTATATGGTAGTATCTACATATCCATACACCCTTATTCAGTTGGTTTAAAGTAGCTGCTTTAGGCTTAGGAAAATGTTTTCAAATGTTCTTTTTCTCTACTAAATTTGAGTGCAGAGATTAGCCTAGTCTAAATAATTCACAGAGAGAATTTACTGAGACAAAACAAAGCCAAGATAAGGCACCTTATTGTATTTATTTGTAAAGCTATGCACCATGAGGGTTTGATGACACTCATTCTGACGCTACATTTCAGCCAGGAAGACGTTTAAAGGGGCAACCACAAGAAAATATATTACGAAACTGAGTAGAACCTCCTATTGAAAGTAGTTTTACACATGAATATAAAGCTGCTGAAATAAACAAAAATAACTAAGCTAATATTTCCCCTCCAGAATATTACAAATGGTTAAACAGGCTAAAACAAGCTATGCTAGTTTCCTCTTTGCAGTAGAAAACCAGTTTGCTTAATACTTATAGTTACCAGGTGACAAAAACTAATATCCGTTTTGTTAAATTCCACGATTGACTCCAAATTCAATGATTTTTAATGCTGAAGTCATATATTTAAAGTATATTTTCTAATTATTTCTATATGATCAGCCAAGAAGTAAAGCTGATACGCCAGGCTAATTTCCCATTTTTAAGAGCTAACCTAAAGTTTGTTACGTTTCTCTATTAGGGTAATTACTCATTAGGGTGGTTACTCATGTGATTTAGGTAAAACCAAAATCACATGAGTAATCGCATGATTTGAAATACTGTGTTTGTGTTTTATATATCTTTAGACAAGAAAAACAAATGTCACTAATTAATTAAAAGGAGCAGTCTGGAATCAAGACAGAAATATGCTAATTTCTTTCCAATGCTAACATTTATTCATGAATTCTCTTTTAGTGTTTAGAGTAGCAGGTAAAAAAGAATATGGTTTCCGATTTTAACAAATGCTTTATTTAAGTTTTGTGTAGTTAAAGTAAAAGGATTAGTCAATAATTATTTCATAAAGAAAAAGAAGTTAAACCAAACCAAGCTAAACTGACCTCCCCTTGTAGTGGGATGCTAAAGTCAGCTAGTTCCTTTTTAGTAGGCCTATTTAAGGTAGCAAAAAGAATAATTTGCCAAATATTTTTTTTGGCTTAACATTTGGAAGTAATTGTCTCCTTCAAAGTATTTTTCTGTCATTTTAAACGAGAAGCTGTCATCAAAGCTATTCTAAAGTTTGCTAAATATTTCAAAACAAGCAAAAAGCCGGTTTCCCTCTGCTAGCAGTACGCTAAAATTAGCTCAGTTAGCTGCGTTGAATGCCTTTTAATGTTGTGGACTCCTTTTGTTTCCAATTAAGGGATTAAAGATCTACGTGCTTAGACATTTTTCAAAAGAGTCCCTTTAAATGTTTATTAGTCCTGAGATTTCAAAATCTCGAACTGCAACAACAGCTACCTAAACAAATTGCTTTATAAATGTCTGCATTTCGAGTTACAGAGGGCTGAATTTAGAATTTATTATTTAACTTTAACGTGTCAAAAAGTCCTGCACTGGATTTTTGAAGACCAAAGATTAGCGTTAGCTTTACTAAGACTGTACAGTATTTAATTGTTCTTTTCACAAATTCCAATTTAACTAGTGACTCGAAGAAAAGTGACCATTTAATCTGTATCTCTGGCAATACCCACTCTTACACTTCACTGTGCTATTGCCTCGGAAAGGGTCGGGAGGTAACTTTTAAAAGTTTGCATGCTTTTGTCGTCCTGTAACTAGTTCAACACCTCAAATCAACCATCAACTCTGTGCAAATGTGGCCTCAAACAACAATGAATGTCTGTAAACGGGAGAGAAACCAAGAGGGAGGTACACATCGGTCAAGTTTCAGATACTTCCACTGAACTGCATGAAAAGAACGCGTATCCACCGTCGACTGTGCGTATTGTACGTTTTAATTTTTACAGATGTTTCTCTCTGCTGTATATTCTGAGTCTCTGACCAAGACTAACAAAAATATCAATGAATGTGTGTCCTGAATGTTTTCCTGATTGTAATGGGTACACAGACTTGACTATTGCTGCCATTATTATTGTTTTTTTTTATATAATCTTTAATTGTGTCTGTGTGCACTTTTTTGTTTATTTTTACTGTGGCATTTGTAAGGTTTCCTTTTATCCCTATTTTATCATTATGTTTGGAGCAAACTGTGATGAGGTGGATTAAGTTATTTTCAAGATATTCAGGAACATTTACAGTCCCACTAATGTATAACTTGGAGTGAAAAGAGAAAGTGTGTCTGCCATCTTCCACCTCTCAATGATTTACTGAACCTTTATCTGTCCGTTTACGCTTGCTGTTCCTTTGATATGCATGAAATGCTGTAGAAACAGTCAGTCCTTCCACATTTAGCCATCTTCTGTTCAACCAATTTTGGTTTTAAGTCGCTTTATTTCATGAACTCACACATCAGAGCTCTACTTTAAAGTCATTTTATTTATTTTTTCCAGTTGGACTAAATTTGGGTTGTGTTTGATGAAAGTTGCTGGTTCATTCAGTTTCCCTCCCCAGTCGAAGATCTGTTGGAGAACAAGGAGGACTCCATGGAAGAGTTCCCTGGAGATTAGTTCTGTTTGTTTCTTTTTCTGGAAATTGTCTGTATATGTGATAAATTTTATTCTTTACCAGGATACCTGTACATTAAGTTTATAAACAAGATGGATAAATATGTTCTGTATATTAGCTCTGCATTTTTTTTCCACATGCTTTGCCTCTTTTAGTTTTATGTCTATATAAATTCAATAAAAATGTTATTAAAAACTTTAATTCTTGTCCCTGTTGAAAAGAACAGAAAAGAAAATGAAAATGTCTTTAATAAAATCTTTATATGTCCTTAGAAAAAAAAACATTTTTTTAGCATGTAAATTAAAATGCAAATAGTCACTTCTTGTTGCCTGCATTTCTAAAGCTTACCTATTATTTGCAGCAGACACAAAACGAGAAGGCCAAGTTTTGACTTTTATTCTAAGCTTTTTTTTTCCAGGATGGGATCACTACACATATAGGGATGAATTAGATGCAAAACTGAGGTGATTTTATCAAATTGACCTAAAAAAATACACATTTATATTTGTATTTGCTCATCTTAATTTTAATTTTCTGGATGGGGACCGTTTTTTAGCGCAGTCAACAAATACCTCAACAGCCCCACAGAATGATGCTGCCACCACCATGCTTGAAAGTTCTTAGACTAATCTGGTTGGTTAAAGAAAACTTCTTATTCTCTCTGACTTGGTTAAGCTTTATTTTCTGACCATGTAACATTCCTCCAGCTGTTAGTCTTGTCCATGTAGCTTTAGCTTTTATTTGGATCAGCTTGGAGCATCTTTTTCAGTCCCCACCCTTCAGTTAAGGGTCCCAGTTTGTAAAAGGCTTGGTATTAGTGATTCCTGGGGTGTTAAATGACCTGAGCAGTTAATAAGATTCGATGAGATTATATCTAAGGATGACTTTTGGGTCAGACTCGATCTGACTTTTCTTCCAGGACAATGATTCCAAACAAGCACCATAAAGCAGGCATGCAGTGAGCAGGAATGTCACCAGTGATGCACCAGGTGGAGGTTATCCAAATATTTTTGCCGTTTCTGTTTATATATGACCCTGAACATATTTTGACTATGTGTGAAAAAAAAATGTGACCTTGTGATAATCAGATTTGTTTAACACTTATATTTGTTTGCTTAGCTTCCTTCTTTCTTTAAAAATATATAATTTAAAAAAGATAATTAATAGTTTCCAATTTCTTTTTAAAGTATTAAAAATGTTACAGTTGTATAATAAATAGAATAGGATGGAACATAGATATTAAATATAGATATAAGCAGCATGGTTGGTTTGTTTCTACTGCTCTCTAGTGCCTCGAAACACCAATTACAACCTTTGCAGTAACGTTGGAAAAAAAAAAGAAATGTGAAATACAGAGAAGGTGGGTGATTCGAATGAACTTTATTTATTTCAGCGTCCAGATGTCAAAGGGCATGCAAATACAGGCTTCAGAATCCCAAATAGTTTTCATTTCTCCCTCAGTTTGGCTCTAGTTTTATTCCTTTTTATTACAAAACTACGTGCACCTTAAGTAATCAATTTTGCAGCGTACAAACCACAAAAATACCAGTTTTACATTATCAAATACTGCACATAGAAAACATTTACAAAGCACAGGTATAAAATTACAGCTTCCTTTTTGTTCCTCTCAACCACAAACCCTCATCCTAGTCATCGAGGCCTGTTGCACAGCAAACACTCCCTGGTTGGGAAAGCTTAAGACAAATAAGCCGGCATTTCACTTTAACTCTGAAAGATTTGCTTATTTTAACAAGAAGCTTCCAAATATTTTTACATTTAGGTCTTATTGAGAATTTAAAGATGCTTCTTTTCTTCATAAACATTGATGCTTTCCAGACTCTCAGAGCTAAATTGGTTTTGTTTTGTGCTCTTAGTGGCTTGGACAGACGAAGGGTTTTCTTGACTGTGGTGAGGGAAATTACCTGGGCCTTATAACAGCTACACAGAGCTAAAAATGACAACATAGTTAGTGAAAGTTGTGCTGTGGTAGCTAACGCGTATAGACAATGGATGAAGGGGATGAGCATTCTGCAGCACAAAGTCGTAGATTTACCAAATTCCCCCTTAATTATGCCCACCCTGCTCCTGTTTACTTGCTGCTACTGTACCCAGGCTCATACTATTTTCACACTGAAATTCCTGCTTAGAAGTGTAAATAAATCTTAAAATCCTTTCATTGGCTGAGCCTTATCTCCAAAAGCATAAGTAGAAAACCTTTTAATTAAAACCTTTAATTTGTGCCGTTGTGTTCCAGTTACCCCTTTTCACTTCTCTCGCACTGACCATTACTTTTATTTAATATCATCTTGTAAGTTCAAGAGTTCATTATGCAATTCAATCTAAAGAAGCCCCCCACTGGCAAAATGTCCATCCTCCACCCTGATTAACATATTCTCCATAAAACGGTCTCTATGTAGGAGCAGGAAGTCAGAAATTGCTAATTAAAGGGACTTAAAAATGTAATCAAAATGTTTACTTTGAGATTTTGCATCAGCGATGAAAGGATTTTATTCACTTCTTGACCCCAGGTTCCAGTAAGTGTGGGGGTTTGTATGGAATACATAATTCCTCATAGACAAAAGAAAAATTGGCTGTTCATCAGGGCCATCATAACATAGCATATATTCACAATGCAGAGCATGCTAGGTTGAGTATAGTTTCATTTTGTACTTGAGATGATGTTCAAATGTATCTATTGTTTGTTATGGCATGGTAGTTTGGGTGCTCTCACCACAGGACCAGCTCTGACCAGTGAGAAACAACTAAATTGTCAATGTCCGAAGACATATTAAAGAAAACAGCAGAGTTCATGCTACTTTATTTCAAAAACGCTCATGAATACGTAAATTTCCTTGGATTTAATATTACTAGAACCCTTTGGTTGTGCCTTGTGAAATAAATTCAAGAAAACTGTCATAAACACCATGCTGCAAACATCTCCTGGTTCAAAAGTATGTTAAACTCAGAGGGTTAATTGTACAGGGACAGGATGCATGGCATGAAGGGGACAGCAATCTTTACAGCTAGAAAGCCATAGTGGCGTTTTAAATTAATCAAAATGCATTTCGCCAGACGGCATCCAGGCTCCTTCCTTATGACACAAATGATAAGATGTAGATAATACAGTACAGTAGGGGCAGAGAAACTCTGCGAAGAGACGACATAGCAAAAAGGTGACAAGAAAAAAACCTACAATTAGAAATACATTCATAAAACTATACACATTTAGAACCTCAGTCCATTATTACAAGCAAAATACATTTTTTTTTTTTTTTACAAAAACTTTCAGTTGTGTGTGCTGCAATAGTGAAGCAACGTCTCCTACGCAAAATAAGGCCATTGTAAACGGATCAAGCCCTCATTTTTTTTGCAAAAACTTAGTTTTGCCCAACCTCGCATTTCAAACTCCTTCTCTCTCAATAAAATCTGTCCTTACAAAAATAAAAATACAGTTTCAACACAGTACTCGACGCACAGCTGAAGATCTGCTTCTTTTTTTTTGGACACAACAGATGCAGAGTTGCACATAAAGCAGGAGATTGTATGTTTACGTTACATTCTGAAAATCCACACTTTTACAATCAACATGTAGAATTTAACCGGACCAGATCAACATGTTTTCTCATCCTGTGAATCTACTATAACTACAAACAGAAAGGTCTCTACATTATAGCCATACAAAATTAATTCAGGTGTCTGAGACATTTCAAAGTAATTAAATTAATTATTACCTGGTTCTTTTTGTGTTGTTTCAGATATTTTGTCACATGTAAACCTTTCAGATCATAAAAATACCAATAAAATGCAGTTTTCAAATGATGATCGATGACTGAAATAATTCGTTTGTGGAATAGTTTTTTTTTCATAAACTGTTTGAAATAAAGAAGTAATCAAATACAAAATAATTATATGAATCAACTACTGATGAAAAAGTTGTTTCATTAAATTAACAGTTAACTTTGATTTCCTTCATTCTTTAAAAATCTGTATCCAATCTCATTTTCCCATATTCAGGCCTGAATACAACAACACCTGAAGAATCAAAGAATCCCATTAAAAAGAACTTGTTTGTTGACATAGAAGTGGGTGAAAAGAGCACAAAAAGCAGCATATCTTCCTAATCTATAGAAATTGACAAAAAAATATAAGGTCATTGCATATAGCAATGAGGAAAGGTAATACAAGGCCATATTTAAGGCATTTGCACTATTTAAATGGACAGTTTGCACTGCTTGAAATCATTCTTTGTCTACGAAGCTCCTTGTGTATGGACTAATATTTTTTTCATTAAATGCTTTTAAGCTGAAAAATAAAAAAATGAAAGAGCTTCAATTATCTGTCTTTTTTTTTACTTTCTATGTTTTTTTATGTACCTGTCAATGTATTTATGTTCAGTATATAACTCTGCTGCCTCTTGGCCAGGACTCCTTTAAAAAAGAGGTTTTTAATCTCAATGGGATTCTTTTCCTGGTTAAATAAAGTTTAATATTAAATAAATTATTCAATCAAAGACTATATACTGGTTAGTAGACAGTTATTTTGGTGCACAAGACTGGTTTGGTTTGGACATTTTCCTTAAAAAAATAATTCATCATTTGAAAACTGCAATTTGATTTCACTCATATCATCTTTTTTGATGTTCAGATTAGAAATCTTTTGCTGATTTGTTTTACTCAGAACTGTACGAACCCAGAGATGATGTCATAATTTTTTTTTAAAAGCTTTCCCCTCACTTTATCATTCAACTTAATAATATCACTCTGGCCTGTTACACATTTTGCATCACGCAATACAACAAATGCACTTATTCAATAAAGCTTATGTAAAGACACTGAACTTTAAAGAAAGGCGACATTCTAACCTCTTCTTTTAATTGCAGACATCTATTCTTTTTTTTGTTTCTTTTTTCTTTAAATTGGCAAAGATTTTTGAAACCAAAAAGATCATCATAATCCCTGTTGCTCAGTTCGTATGGCATGCCCAAAGTGTCACAACTCCAAAAAACATTTAGGTCATTAGATAACCCTCAAAATATACAACAAAGTATTAAGACCAGGCTAGACATTGTTTTCTTTTTTTTTTTACGAGAATAAAGTTGTAATATTATGAGAATAAAGTCATAAAATTACGAGAATAGAGTCGCAACATTTCAAAAATAAATCAATAAAATTACGAGAATAAAGTCTTAACATTTCGAGAATTGTTGAGACTTTCTCGTAATATTACGACTTTATTCTTGTAATGTTACAACTTTTTTCTCGTAATGTTACAACTTAATTCACTTAATGTTACGACTTTATTCTTGGAAATAAAATATAAATCTCTTGTCTGGGCCTAATACTCTGTCGTAAAAATGTGACCCAGATTGAAAAGAAATATGTAAATACTTTCTATATGTACTGCGTACAAATAAAAGTGTGAACACCTTCTTAAAAAAGGCTGAAGAGCCAAAAATATGAATTGTCAGAGATTAATTTATCTGGAGTTCCAAAAGGACTAGAATGTGAGTTGCATCTTTGAGGAGCTGAAAAGACTCACATCAGATTTTCTCTTTAGAATTTATAGAAAATGATGGAAAAAAAAGCTCTTAGATAACAAACAATGTCAACAAAGCTAGAGAGGAATCCATCAACATACAAGCCTATAATGATTAACACTCTTAACCCTCAAGTTAAAACAGTCTATAAACAATGTTGGCCTAAGAATATTCTTAATTATAAAAAGCCAATAAAGTGACACTTTAAAAACATCGTCATGCTGATGCTGAAGACTCGACCATTGCACCTTCCACTAGAACAGCTGACGGGTCGCATTTTGCCCTTTCACAGCCTTAAATCTGACTTAAAGGCTCAGAAAAAAAAGAAAAAAAAATCAGATTGCCATATGGTGTAGATATTAGTTGATTTCTGGTATCAATGTTCTCCAATTATTTAAAAAGGTACTGCTTCAAAACAGCAAAACCAAAAAAAAAAAAAAATGTATTAGAGAGAATACTTTTCTTTGGCTAAAGTAACAAAACTCTGCCCTTCCCCCACCTGTTGCACACTGCTAGTGAGACAGCTGGAAACAGGCTGCTACACTTTTCCCCTGCTTAGAAGAGAAACAAATGTGTCTATATAACTTTTCCAGTTGCAAAAACACAGTTGGAAAGCTACAATCAGCATATCTGTTTATCTGGATGCTTTATAAGGAGCAGAGCATCAGCCCTCTGCACAAGCGTTTACCTGAACACTACAACTAAACTTAAAGGGTGTTAATTCAAAGTCTCCATCTGTTCAAAGAAGGCGAAACACAATCAATGAAATTGCAAACTGCAACTGAATTTAAAGTATTTTTCTAGTGATAACTGATGTTTTGCTGCTTTAAGATGAAGAAATGACGAAAGATCCATTTATAGTTCCAAGGTAGGGAGGTTTTCTTTGCGTTTAATTCATCCCTAAAGGATGCAGTAAAAAACTGGAGCATCAGACCTCTCATTTAGAAAAATCAAAATAATTTCAAGAAATAATAATATAATAATAATAACGTGTTTTAGACTGATTCCAGGTTGTGAAAAAATATATTTTTGGAATTAGATACCTTAGATCTGACCAATTCCATCTCCATAATTTCAATAGAAAATACACTCTGCCTTCATCTCTATGCTGAAAATCAAAGGTTCGGAGGTTAATGTGCGAATACATCTCTGGGGATTTAAACTCTATTTCTATGAGACGACACCTTAGATAATAATAATCATACAATACAGAAAAATAGAAGTGGCTTACCACAGCTCAGACTTAAAATGGAAAAATAATTCCAAATTTACAGTAAAGTGCTCTCCAGAAAACACAAACGTAACCAACCGACAGGAAATATAAGACAGGAATGCTGCAGGCTGTTGTGTCAGTGCACCTGGAACAAGTTCAACCACCTGAATATGGCTGCCTACTGTTAGTGCTAATATAGTGGAGGTTCACATCCGTAAATTAGAACATCATCAAAAAGTTTCAATATTGTATTGGATACTGTAGTGGCATCATTTTAATTTTGATTTATCATAAATAAAATATAGCTTTACGACTAAAATCAACCTAAAACTGGAATATGAGAATATTGTGACTAAATCAATTTAAAAAAAACAATTAAAAAAAATGATTGTTTTTTTTATATTTTAACAATCAAATATTATAGTGTCAACTGGGGCCCATATTAGGAAAGTTTTCTGACAGTTACTACCGATCTTTACAAAAAGAACAGCTAACTGGAAATGAAAACGACTTTCACTAGTTATTTAGTGGAAGCAACAGGGTTCTAAAATTAGTGTTAAAAAGAGTTTGACTTTTTGAATTGACTCTACTGAAATACATCAGCTTTTAAATGATGTTCTAATTCATCTGGATGCACCTACCATCCTGGTATAATATCCAAAAAAGAAAAAAAAAAACATCTTTTGAAATTATATACATGTTTACACATTTACAGTAGCTTCTGAGGGACAAATAAGAGAGGGGAAAAAAGAGGCTCTGCTGCTGAAGCACTAAATCTAACAGAGCAGGAAGAAGTCAGGATAATGAAACAAAGAAATCCGGCGGCGGTCCGACCATGTGAGACCCCCTCCAGGATACAGCAGTGGTCAAACGCACGTCAGATAGAGGCTGGGGGAGGGATCTAAAGCCAGCAGCGAGTGTACAGCTGGCCGACTGATTATTTTTCTTCTTCTGCAAACAGCGATGACAGTCTTGTCCTTCGTTTTAACTCAGTGCTCCTTTTTTTTCCTTTTTTTTTCGTCGGGACGTATCGGCAAAACAAAGCGGCAGCACTGTACTCCCGTTATCAGTCAAGGCAAGCTAAATAAAAAGACTTTAAAGCACTCTCAATAATGTCTCGCAAGCAAAGCATGCAGAATGCAGCCAATACATATAGAAGCTATCTATTCATATATATTTATATATTCATGTATAAACTCTGCCCTGTGAAAATCATAGAATATAGCAGTGTTGCTACCTCACATAACAGCCATTATGTGAACATCCGAGCCAGGTTTATGTGTTTGACATCCCGCTCTAGTTTTATGTGTGTGTGTGTGTAGAATACATCTTTTTTTTTCTTTTTTTTTGCATTACATCAACAAGTCATTGACTCTGCTACATATCCATACTTTATATTGTATACTAGTTTTGACTACTACTTATAGGAATAATAAGAACAACAATAACAATTGCTTTGGTTTTAAAAAATAAAGTTCTTTTTCTTAGTTTGGCATAGAGAGTTTAGAAACTGGCATCGATCGGGATGGCCCTGGAATGAGACGCGCAGGTCTGACGACTTGGAACGCAGGAAGGTATGGCGCCCTCTGCTGTGAAATGAAGAACGCTACATGTTCAGGTTGCTTGTGTCTACGTCGATTTAGTTGGTGAGTAGTAATGGATATGGAAGAGTGTGTGGGCGAGTGACGTTTATGGGACCTGGGACGTGCCGCTGAACGGTGTATGCCTAACTGCGTCACGCTAATACAGTCGTCGTGTATGTACAGTATGCGTGTCTGTGTCTGCGCTCTGTGTGCGTGTCGGACGTCTGCTGGGTGTCTAGGTGCATGTGGGGCTGGTGGCACTCTCCAGGGAGGACTGAGAGAGGCGTCTGGTGAGGGGTCCGATGCTGGGGTCTGCCAGAGAGGAGGTAGGGAACAGCTTGTACCAGCCACTGACGGTGGCAGAGAGGTCCAGGTCCTCCAGGAGGATCTGGGCCATTCCCATGAAGCACTTGTGGTCCATACGCCCGTAATCCCCCCACACTATGACCTGGAGGAGAAAAAAAAAAGTAACATAAACCTCTGTTAGTGACTTTTGCACACAGAAAAACAGCTGCATGCAATAATACAATTCAATAATAGGACCCAATAACTTTTTTTTATCGCGAACCAAGAAGTAATAAACGTTTACAAATCTTAAAGATAAACGCATTTTCTTAAACAGATTTATCGAAATCATGTAGTAAAGTTATTCTAGACAAGATATTTAAACATATTTTGTTAATATTGGACTAATGAGCTAAATCGGCTAGCCATCTTGTACACATAATTACCCATGGCGTTAAAATCAACTGGAATGTGGTTGGAACTTGTGCCAGATGCATTTTAAGTTTAGAACGCATTTGCCATGCTTTCTAGGAGAGGCACTAATTAAATAATTAGTGAGGGAAGGGGAATAAGTTAAAAGGCCACTATAGGGATGACAGTTTCCCCCCCCCCCCCATTTGGGCTGAAACTGATGGAAAAGAGGCCGAATCACAACACATCTAACTTGAAAAGTGACATTCCAACTATTCCAAGGAGACATCTTAGTGCGGATGTGTTAACCAGAGCAGAAATATTACAAAAAAACTTTTTAAAATAAAATCAGAAAACCAGGAAGCTATTACCTGTAGGACTTTGCCCTGAGGACTTTCGTCAAACAACAAAGCCTGCTGGTATGTGGGATCCAGAGTCTTCTTTACTACTTTGGTTTTTTTCTTGGCCAGGCACATCCCGTTCTCCAGAACGTATACCTTCACATAGGTTGCTAATAGAGAAGATAACAGTGAGCCTTCGACATGGGCGGCGCAGCCAAACTCACCTTAGACAGATGAAATAAGTACCTGGTATGTTCTTGGAGCCTGGTTTTGGAGTCAACCCTCTGGCCTGGTTCACCTCCACCTCCAGCTGCCCTCCTCTGTCTACCATACCTACATGAACATCCCCTGAAGAGAAGGAGCAAAGCGCCAACAGAAATTAGAATAAAACCAACGCATTTATCTATCCTGACAGCAGGTGGCGACAGAGATCTGCTGCAAAGTGCTGGCAAGCAGAGGACCCACTCATGTGTTTCATTTTGTCTGACTTTTTACCTCAAAAGAATTTATGAGTGAAATGTTGTACATTTAGAGATAACTCTATTTACATGTCATCTCTTACAGCAAAGAACAGTTATCTGAATGGTTTTAGAGGACCATTGCATTTTTATTTTAATTCAAAGTTCTAGGTCAGTGTTAAAAATAAACATTTACATCAAAACCTACAAAACACAACCATCTGTTTTCCTATCATGATAGAAAATAAAAAAAATTGGACCATTTAACCCCAAATGATCCAGTGATTTTATGAATCACTTGATCATTTTAATTTTATACTATTGAGTAAAAATATTTACACCCCTTAAAATGTAAAATACCAACACAAATTAGCATATTATTAGAAGCTAGCTATAAAACATACTTTATAAATAGTTTTCTTAGGTTCTGACAGCTAGTAAATCATTGGGAATATAATATAATATGATTGTTAGTCTGTAACAGTAGGCCTGCTTGCCAATTTACCTTTGTCAGATTGCAAATGATGGATAAGATCATACAGTACTAGCGCCATTATTACATATTACAGGTTACACAAAATCGGCTGTTTGCATGCTGTTCGAAAACATTAGCCTTTACGTTAATGAACAGCACACATACACAGTTCTTAGTAAAAATCACTTTATTTTTTAAAAAAGTGCTAGATTTTGGCCACTCTCATAAGATGCACTTTTAAGTGTAACCAACCCTATGTGAGAAAAAAATTCCCCCCCCAGAAAAAAATCAAATTGACAAATTAGATGACTATGATGACTATGCAATGTGATGTGCCTATTTTTTTTTATCATAGGTGGCAGTAATGTACTTATGCTATGAAACAGCAAGTGTTTGTCCAAGTGATGAATTTATCTTTATTTTAAAAGTGTTAAGCCCCCCTGATAATGAGAACATCATCATTGTTTGATTCTGTTACACACGTATTGTTTATGTTGCAACCGGTCTAACTAGGGAGTACCAATATGGCCGGTGGCCTCACTCCAACCCTTGCTCCCAACAGGCTATCCAGTGAATAATTAGAGATCAGAGGGGTAAACGTATTGAGCTAAAGGCTCACTTATAAAGTCCAGGTCTCCAAGTCTCCTCCTGGCCAATGTAAGTTCACTCAGCAACAAACTGGATGGGATTCAGCTGAGGATGGTCTAATGTAAGATGGATGGCCATTGGAGCTGGCGGACCTTGCTTTACTCTGGGCTGATAGAATTACAGCTGCAGGGAAGATCAAAGGTGGAGCTTTGGCAGTGTGCATTCACAAGTTCTGATACACAGCTACAAAAACAATGAAAACCTCCTGCTTCCCAAATTTAAAATATCTGACAGTGAAGTGCAGATGATTTAAAGCTTGGACAAAACAAAGAGCAGATCCCACATTGGCTGCTGCCTCGAATGAATTACTGCCACCATCTTGGAGCGGTTGTCCTACCCACTTGGCTAAACAAAAAACAGCAGATAGACGTCTCAACAGCGCCAATAGGCAAAGTGATCCCTGAGGGGTCTTTTCTTTATATACGTCCATGATTTAAATTGGTTATAAAATTTAGCTCTGTTATTATCAGTGAAGCCTACAAAGCATCAAAATTGAATTTTAAGTTATCACAGGAGGAGCTGCGCAGTGTCTATAACAGTCAAATGAATGATAATTCAGAGGCAGCTGTGAACAAGGCTACAGACTTTCAATGATGTGGAATCAAAGGCTAGGCTCCACAGATTTATTGCGTTTGCAACCAGAGACCACAACCAGATTTGCAACATTCCTGGAGCATTAAAAGCTGGGCGCATTTCTCCCACACATTTAAATGTCATATCACATCTCTGTAGACCTGGTCGATGCATATAAACCTCTGACCTGCAGAACTGAACTATTTATCAGAACCATTCAGGTTGGGACTCCTTACAGGAATACTACACAGACTGAGCGTTCAAAGAAGACCCTGATCTGCAACATTACACATCACCTATGGTGTCCTATATTGACGTTTGCACTGATGCGGTCATTCCCACAAAAACAATGAGCAGACAGTGAGGCTGCTATGGAAACATCAGTATGCAGGTTACAGATCAGGAGAGAGACTGACCCACAGCAGAGCCCAGAGAGAACCAGAAGAGAGCATCTAGCAGGCAAAGCTCAGATACAAGCAGCGCATTGAGGAGGAGTTCAGCAACAACAACCGGTATGTGGAGAGGTATGACCCAGCTCGCCCTGACACCTTCTCTTTTGCACGTTTTGACACTCCAAGCAGCAGAGGGACTGAGCAGGAGTATCAGGCTCTGGAAACTCATTCCATCTTGTGAAGAAGGCCTCACTGTGGCTCTTTTTTTTCTGTAGAAGGCGGAAATGGACTGGACTCTCTACTCAGCTGCTCACAAATCTTTATAGGGCCACAAATAAAAGCATCCTGGGCCTCAGTGTGACAGGGTGGTATGGTGGTGACGACTATTCGATCTGGACTCGGTTCATGCTTCACAAATCCAGATAGAGGCATTGGGAATGAACCGGCAATGCACTGTCTGTCCCTCTTAATCCATGGAAAAAGATTCAGCCACATTAAATAAAAAAAAACAAGTAGACTAAAAAACTTTCTCTCCTAAAGCTGTGAAGACAACAGCACCCTGTAGGCAGACACTAAAATCCCCAGCTGAAAACCAAGCAAGTCCACTTAGACTGTTTCAGCACAAGCTGCGCTTCATATAAATCCTACATGCCACATTCCATGTACATATGTTTTCTTGTTTCTACATTTTTTAAAGTTTTCCCTGAGGATGTTTTCTTTCCTTCCTCTATACATGGCTTTATTTTATGACTGTGTATTACATGTGTGTTGGAAACATTTTGGTCACACAATGACAATAAAGACTCTTGATTATTGGTTCTTGGCCTTAATTAAGCATGGAGAGTGAGCAGAGGGACACCGGCAATTACGCCGCATATGGATTTTTTCAGGGTGAGGATTTTATTTCCCCCTCTTGACAATGGAGGTTGAGGAACTCATTGTGAAGCCCATTGAGCTGAAGCCTTATCAGTTTGAGCTGCTTGCTTTAAGGTGCTGACTTAGCGATGCCCAAAGCTGGGTCTGCTGAGGTGGTGGAGGACAAAAAGACTCTATGGAGGCGTATGTCTGGGTAAGTTGTATTCATACCCAAAAGCAGGGCTATGATGATGAAAGGCTGTACCAGCACGTTTTGCTTTAACCAATAAGAAAATTCAATAATAATAACCATTGTTCACATTAAGATGCCATCCATCCATCCATCCATTTTCTAACATGCTTACACCCAAGTGGGGTCGTGAGGAGTGCTGCTGCCTATCTCCAGCTGTCAATTGGTGAGAGGCGGGGTACACCCTGGACAGCTCGCCAGTCCATCGCAGGGCAACACAGAGACAACCAGGACAAACAACCCTTCACGCACACACTCACACCTAAGGAGAGAAGCCAATTAACCTAACGGTCATGTTTCTGGACTGTGGGAGGAAGCCGGAGTACCCAGAGAGAACCCACACATGCTCAGGGAGAACATGCAAACTCCATGCAGAAAGATACCAGACCAGCAATCGAACCCAGAACCTTCTTGCTGCAAGGCAGCAGTGCTACCACTGCGCCACTGAGCAGCCTGCGCCACTGGGCAGCCGCATGCTTTAGATACAAATACTGCAGAGCTAAGGAGATAGTAACAGTAAAATAGCACCCCAAAGGCCCAGTTCACACAGTTAATATGCATAAAAAGTTGATTTCAGGGTGTGTTACACCTTAAGTCTCCTCTTTAAACATGCTTTAACCCAACTGCATTTGTAAGAGGGTTTGTGCAATTGAATGAGACCCACCAGTGTGGACATCTCCAGTAAAATCTGATTTTGTTTTTAGTTTGTGTTACATGTTCCTATATTTTCTCTGTTTCCTGATGGCTTGTCCGTTGTTGTTTTTTTGCACCTTTGACAGTTTACTGGTGGAGGGGGCGGGGCGCCGCCAGTTAAGCTTTAAGCTGGGCTGGTGGCACACCTGTGAGGTGATTTTGTCTTTGTGACGTGCGAGGCAGTGAGTGTAGGAGGCTGCCGCAGCAGCAGAGTTTTAGTTTAGAAAGGTTCATTGAAAGGACGGTGCAGGAAGGCTCTGGAAAGGGAGAGAGTACTTCGGGATGGAGGGAAGCATCGAAGGTATTGGCCGAGATGAAGAATGTTCCTCGTATTGTTTGATTTGATTGTGAAACCGGCTGGAAGCTAGCGAAGACAAGCACAGGGTGAAATACACACAGGCTAAGAAGAAACCATAAACACAATCACGAGTGGTGTGTTTTAAGAAAAGAAGAAAATATATATAAATTAAAGACAAAAGAAAAAGAAAATAAACTTAAATGGAGCATCTGATGAACAAGGGATCACGAGGGCTCGCCCTTCTTCAACGTATGTCAGCTGGTTGAGGAACTCTGATCGGGAATCTAAGGTAAGCCCCCACCATACTGTGTTGCATCAGGTGTTTGTTTTCTGCTAACTGTTTCCTTTAATCCACATTCGTATCATTTATTGTTGCGGCCCCTATCCTCCCGCAATGACAAGAAAAATTAGCCATAGTGAGAGGTAATGGTTTGTAACATTTGAAAAAAGTGAAGCTGGTTAGGCACCAATAGAACCTTACCCATAGGGGGTGTAGCTAGTGTTTGTCGGCCTACGATCTGGGCAGGGCCAAGACCGTCCAGAAAGTCGCTGAACTGACTCTCAGGCCCCAGGCGAGTGGTGGGGAAGACAAACCTGAAGGAGAACAACACAATTAATGATGAACCGATGAATAATCAAGACTGGATGGACATACTGTAGAAAAAGCTGCTGGTACACGTACGTTCCTTCTGAGCTGTTTGAGTTGGTGCTGCCATCGGTGGAGTCCTTGCTGCCCTGCCGCGTCACCCTATTCCTCATCTCAACAGCGATTCCAGTCTCTGTGCTCCTCCGGATGGTGCTGCGGAGCTTCTTCATTCCACCATCTAAAAAATAAAGAAGTAACAAAAGGCATCCTGTTTAACCGCTTTTGTCTTAGCAGAGCTAATAATGAAAAGTAGATTTCTTAAAAGGAAGTCAGTGTCATGGTCTTGATTCTGTTATGTTTTACTTTGCTCCATGTTTTCTAGTTTTATTGGTTTAATTCCTATTTTGTTGTATTTTCTGGATATATTTAAGTTATAAGGTTTTTATATGTTTCCCACTGTTGCCCTCTTGTGTTAGTCTCCTTTTCCCTAGCTCCTTCCTTTGCTGCTCTCTTCACACCTGCTCCCAATCTGCTCGTTAGTTCTCTCTATGTTCAGTCTACCATAAATACTCTCCTTGTGCAGTTCCTCAGTGCTGGTTCCTCGTCTCACTTCGTCTTACTCTGTCTTACTCCGTCATACCTCGTCCTACTTCATCTTACCCTGGCTCCTTATGATTGCTTTTCCCCTGATGTCTCCATGGTTCTGGTTTGTTTCATATTTCCCATGTTGGATTTTTGGATTGCCGCCTCTGCTACCTGTGTTTATTTAATTAAAACAACAAAAACTCACCTCTGCCTCCCCTGCTTCTGCATTTGGGTCCAAAAAACACAACTAAACCCTGAATCAGGTGAGCATAGAGTAGCACTTGCTCAAAGATGTCATTTAGACCTACATTATGGGAGTTAAAAAGTAAACCCTTACACCAGAATCTATTGCTCTCCCTTTTTTAAAAGCAACTGCTTTCCACTGAGGAGGAATTTAAATTCACCTTGAGATCGGCCTGTTTCTGGGCTATTTATTTTGAAGCAAGTTCACTCAAGCGAGAAGCCATTCTCCCCTAATATCTTCTGGGATGTCCCTGCACTGCTGAAAAAAGATCTTTCCACTTTTCAGCTATTACTACACTCCATTTTAAACACAAACACAGCCCATTTGGCAGCTGTTCTTGTTGACTGGAGGCAATGAGTTTTAAGGGAAAAGAGTTTTCACAGGTAGAAACGCTAGCAAGTGAGTGGCGTCCATAATGTTTTGGGTGGGCTACATGCAGTAGATTTGATGCAAACAACTTTCCACCAAAGCAGACAGGATGGGCCAGGATAGCATGGATCGGAGGAGCCAAGAGATCCACCATTACAACATCAGGTTGGAAATTCAGGAGGCAGAACTATTCTTTGTGCATGTGACAAAATCAGGCCTTTATGAGCTAGTTGGGAGAAGTAAGACAAGAAAATTTTCTGCAGCTTGCCACATACAACAGATCTGTATCTGAATGATTTAACATGCATGAATATGGTATGTTGGATATAGTACCTAGACTGTTGATAACCCCAAACACTGTCTCAGTGGTGATAGCAGCATAAGGATTCTTTTCTTTACCGGGTATCATTTCTTGCACTGACAGGTCTCAGCGTCAATGCAGACAAAGATGGGGGAGGGGCACTTTGCATTGTAGTGCGTGACTTTTGGCCTAATGCACTGATTCTGTCTGGTACAGTGCTCTGTGCACATACAGTATCATAGAGTGTAGTAAGAAAGAATTACATTGTGTGATCTTTGAATTTTGAGGAAGAATAATATTTTTAACAGCAAGTCTCAAGTTGTCACTAAATTGGCTGGTTTATTGTAAATATATATTTGGGGTCAACTGGTGATTCTGTGGAACCCACTGCCAGTTTTAGTCCGTGAGGCACACACCCTGTCTACTTTTTAAGCGTAGGCTTAAAACTTTTCCCTTTGATAATGCTTACAGTTAGATATGCTGTTTTAGGCCTAGATTGCTGGAGGATATGGGAACCCCTTTTCCATCATTCTGCTTCATTCTATCTCTATTCTCCCACTCTGCAGAATTTGTCATTTCAATCTCTAACGTTATGCTCTCTCTGCTTTTTCTCATTATAGTAGCTTCATCTGGTCTGTTCCTGTTTGGCTGCGACACCACCCAGGGGAGAAATATCAGCAGTGCTGCTGCCGTCAACACCTTGGTTTATAGATGTTCGAGATTGGCATGTTTTTCAGTGTAGTCCTGTTTCTCTGACTGTGATTGGCTGGAAGTGCTCTCTTCATCCTCTGACATGGGAGCTGGCTCGGAGCTCATCTACCGGGCCTCAGCAGATGGCCGCTCACACCCAGTCTGGTTCTGCCGGAGGTTTCTTCCCGTTAAAAGGGAGTTTTTCCCCTCCACTGTCGCTACAAGAATGCTTAATGTGAGAGATTGCCTTTGAGTCGATGAGTCGAAGCAATCAACTGGTTTTTCTTAGATAGAAAACTTTGAATCAATTTGACTCTATGACCTGGTGAACAGTAAATTGTCTTGAGATTAAATATGTTGTGAATTGGCGCTATATGAATAAACTATATTTAATTGTATTGATTCATGAGATGAACTCTACAGTATATACCTTGCCCCATTTTGCCTACTCATTCCAAGGAGTATGAGGGATTGTTTTTATTTTTTACATCAGAAAACTTCATTGGAAGTTTTAATCTTTCCCTCGAAATATAACTTTAAATATACTGAATTTTTTATCTACAATAAAACATAAATGATATGGTACCTTGATATCTGCCAGTGATTGGGAACCACCAAAAAAGATATTTCTTGATAAGCTATTGTGCAGCACCTCTGCAGATATTTACCAATATTAAAAGCCAGTGTTCTTGGCTAAAAATCAACAGCAAAATAAAGAGAGGCATTTTCTCCAGGTTTACCATATAGAATCCCCACCTTTGCTCAACTTCAAATGTTGTGTTAACTAGCTTTTAATAATAACATTACCAAGATGAGTAACTAGAGCATCTGTGCAACTAATTAGGACTGCAGCCGTGGTACAGGCAGAACCTTTTGCTCTATGGGAGCCTAAAAAGCTCAGAAAATGGAGGGAAGTTACTTAAAGGAAGACTTTTAACAAGCCGTTTGCTCGTTGTCACAGGGTAAGAACACACCCTTCTACAGCCGTCCCACCTCATTAGCCCGAGCAACTCCAGTCTCATTAAGCATCCCTGCCATGCCTGTCTCATCACCATGACAACCACCGACACTGTGCGTCGTCACCATCACTATGGAGATAAACAAAGGCAAACAGAGCCCCTCGATGAGACTTTGGGGATGATGATGATGATAGAAGGGCTTTGAATTGATGATAAGGAGTGGCAGAGGAGAGGAGGGAGAAAGAGGAGGATGAGAAGGATGGGGTCCCACGGGTGTTTGGGAGGAGGACGCAGCCGCTGTCTTCTAGTGCTTTCTATTTATAATCCTGCAGTCAAGAATATTTCCAACTGCCACGTGTGTATGTGTGTGTGTATGTCTTAATAGCATGATACCTAGACCAACTCCTTGCGCGCTTCGGCTGCCATGGCAACCCCCACCCTCAGATCTGGACCCAGACAATGCCACTCGGGACAACGGGCTCATCTCCTGTCACTTTTTAATTATATTATTGAGGTAACACTTATTTAACTCCCTGGTATTCCTCATAATACAGAGGCTCACAATCAAACCACACAGGCCTTGTTAAGCATTTGTCGTGCAAATATGGCAGAACAGCAAACCCACCAAGACATGACTAGATTAAGCAGCCTTAGGTCTGATGCTTGCAACTCCATGTTCCATTGTGAGGCATTTTACAGTGACAATAGTTGATTGAAAGATATATGGAGGTTAATACAGTGCAACTCTGGAGACAGTTCACCATGATCTGGTAGCAAGAAAAAACTCACCCATCATCCTGCATGTTTTTCTGTGCATTTAACAAAATTCAGCCTGATCAATGATTTAGTGATTGGGAGATCACAGCTGTATGGCTAGTGGCACAGGAGCACCACAGGGGAATACATTTACCCCATTTATTTATCTTTAACACCTCAGACTTCCTGATGACTTCCGTCTGCAGAAATACTCGTAGTGTTTGGGTGTATCAGAGATGGACAAAAAGCCAAATACAAACAGTTGGTGGATCACTTTCTGGCATGTTGCGGCAACAATCATCTCGAACAAGAAGCTAACAAACGAAATGGGTCAGAAAAATAATCCAATCATTGGTTGTGGGCGTTGTGGAGGACTATAAATACCTCAGTGTTAAGGTGGACAACTAAGACTGGGCACACAAAGGTTAATCCATCTTTATTAAGAAACTGAGCAGAGTTTTGAAGTCAACAAGATCCTGAACATTTTCTACACTGTATAAGTTGTGGAAGACTGTAATCTCTTCTGCTGTCGTCTGTTGGAGTTGCAGGATCAGATTGAGTGACTTAAAAAACTAAGCAAGTTGATAAAGAAGCCCAGTTCTGTTCATCTAAAGTTTTAATCACAAAAAAAAAACAATACTCACAACCCTGATCCTCCATTTCAACTGCCTGTTGTACAAAAACAACATCTTTACTCAGACATTTCCTCAGATCAGCTGTAATACTGACCATGACAGAGGATCCTTTCCTAACAATGGTCAGCAGCAACAACAACCATATAGAGAATATTGAGAATTTCATTATGAAATTATGATTCATTTAAGGTTTTAATATTTCTGTACTTCAGGGACTTATGGGTGTGGCAAAAATGGCGGCACTGTGTCATCAAATTGATAATTTTGTTTCACTCTACCCTGTAAAAGGGCAAGCATGGTACAGGGGAAAATTTTTATACATGGCTGTGGTTGCAGTGCGCTTTAGAGGAAAGGCCACCTGTGTTTCAGTGTGGAGAAATCTTGTGTTTTTTCATTACTTTTGTGACCCAATTCTTTTATGCTTTGCATTGTTTTTTTAGCTGAGTGACTAATAACACATGTTTTTATGGTTTGACAAACTCAAAACACACATTTCATTTACTGCTAATGCTACATTGACGTTAAGTTTTCTTTCATGAAATCCTAACAATGCCTTTTGAATTTTCGGGTTGTACTTGTGCTCATACTCAAACTTTTCAACAGGCTAATTTCTGGGGGTATGAGTTTAACTGTGGATGGTAGATTAACCATCTGGTAACCTGCTGCAGCCAACAGTATGAACATATTGCACTGAAATCA